TCTACCCTTCACGAACGCGGGCCTGGTATCGCGAACGCGAAGGCTTGTGGCATGGTCAGGGGGAAGGGAAACTTATACCTACGCGAACGCGACCTCCTGGACAAGAACGCGACCTCCTGAACGCGAACGCGAAGGTTCGAGGAGTTACTTTTCCGCGAACGCTAGCCGTCTTCCGCGAACGCGAAAGTCTATCAGACCTAAATCATCGCGAACGCGATGAGCTTGTCGCGAACGCGATGACCAAATACGCCCAGTTATTTTAATAGTCCAGAAACAGAATGCATTACGGGATTTAACACATTTTTCACAAACTTCTTCTTCTCCACACCTCTTGGGCGATTTTTGAAGAACTTCACCATAACCTCTTGGGTAAGTAATCTTTGACTTATTTTCTTCCATTTTTTATCAACAACCACTAGATTTCTAGGCCTAAAACATGTGATCAAGGGTAGAAAATTAGGGATTTGGGTAGAGTTAGGGCTTTTTGATTATTTGGGAATTGGACCTTATTTTGGGGTCGGATTTCAAAACAAATTATATATTCGGGCTCGTGGGTGAATGGGTGATCGGGTGTTCCGAACCTCGTGGTTTGACCAAGAGGGCCCGGGGTCAATTTTTGAATTTTTGGGAAGAATGATTAGAAAGCTATAATTAAGTATTGGAATTAGATTGTTTAGCATTTATTGATGTTATGAAGTCGATTATGAATAGATACGATTGATTTGGAGCCAAATTCGAAAGGGAAAGCGGTGTTTGAGGCTTGAGTTGGCCGTGGAAGTTCGAGGTAAGTGTTTGGTCCAACCTTAGCTTGAGGGATTAGGAGTTGTGTCCTATTTGCTATTTGTTTCTTGTTGAATACGACGTATAGGCATGGTGACGAGTATCTATACGTTGGTGTCAAGCATGACCGTGAGTCTTATATTGTGATTTTCATGATTTCGTTGTGTTATTCATGCCTTTGGTGAAGATTTCTATTTGCTGTGTAAAGTTGTGGAAAGAATTATGACTTATGAACATTGAAGAGCGTTGGCTCCAGTTGTATAACGAATTGTGAAAGTATAAGTGATAATTGAAACTCTAGAGCATTGGCTCGAGTTGTGAAGGGAATTATGAAGTAAAAGTGAGAAAGAGAAGAGATCATTATGTTGCCCCTTGCCGGACTATTGTTGAGTTGTGGTTCCCTTGCATTGTGTTCTTAATTGATATTACGAATGCTTAGGTTGATGATTCTTTGTGTTGGGTAGGGATTATGGTTATAGCTGAGGTAGTTAAGTGTCGGAACAAGTTTGGTTATAGCGGAGGTAGTTAAGTATTGTAACANTATGTGGATCGGGTTGCACGCCGCAACAATGATATATGTGGATCGGGTTGCATGCCGCAACAGTGTTGTTATATATATTGGGATCGGGTTGTGCGCCGCAACAATTATTGATACAAGTGTGTTTAGTTTGGATATTAGTTTCTTTTGTTTGCTGTGAATCCTAAGCTGCCCCTAGACTGTTACTCTGGATTTACTGTTAATACTGGTATACCCCCGCAGCATGTTTCCCCCTCCCATCTTTACTTGCTTATACCTGCTTTACTTTCCGCTATATATTATATAACTGCACAGGTTTATTTGGTAGTCTGGTCCTAGCCTCGTCACTACTTCGCCGAGGTTAGGCTAGGCACTTACCAGCACATGGGGTCGGTTGTGCTGATACTACACTCTGCACTCTTTTGTGCAGACCCAAGTATTGTAGACTTCGGACCGCGGTGAGATTGCTAAATGTTATTTCTTCGTAATTGTTAAAGAGAATAAAATTGGTAAAAAGGTAGATGGTTCAATCACGACTCCCGAGGTGGGAAATCCGGGTCGTGACAGTGAGCACAAAGTACTTTATCGCGCGTCTTTCTTTTAACAATGGTAGAGAGCAGTCTTGTATCTTATCCAGCAAAAGTGATATAGCATTTACTTGGGTATTGTAACGTTAATATCAATGTGTCTCATGTATAGCATAAAGGAACGACAAGAGGGGGTTGCTCTGATGGTCAGCACCCTCCCACCTACAACCTCAAGGTTGTGGGTTCGAGTCACCAAAGGAACAATAGCTCCAACAAAAGGGGATCAAAAGGAAATCAAAAGCATAAAGGAGCTAGTAAAGATTAAAAAGCATAAAGGAGCTAGTAAAGACTAACCAGAGAACAGGGTAACTATCCATAAGGTAAACACCATGATTACTCGACTGTTGAAAGGAAGGACTGAATTCCGAAAACAATGAAAAGAGATCCACCCGCAAGTGCCACCTACATCACGTAACAACTTTGTTCTCATGAAAATGGACAAATGGAACATAAGGGTAAAATTGAGCAGGAGTAAACTAAATCACTTACTATTCTTTCAGATATTGAAGTTGCAAGGCCTTTCCCTCCTAAGACAGCAGCTGTAGTACATAAAGCTTGTCCCCTGAGAAAGGTCAACTACATCACAAAACTGTGCATCTGACCAATTTTCGACCTCAATTATGTCCTTAATGTGTTGAGAGAGCTACAACTGATGTGTTTCTCTTTTACAATTTTTTTTTCTTTTGACAAATATAAATACTAATTAGCAGAGAGATTTATTGGCATCTTTTTCTGACTTCAGGAGCGACATAGGAGCCGCGAAGCAATATCAGAATGACATTTATAGCTGGGAACATAAGAAGATAACACAAGGCTTTATGTTAAGGAGTAACCTACAAGATTCCGCCAAGAACAACTCCTAGTGGATTCTCATCCGCAGCCAAACCAATGGTAGCAAGCTGAGAAATTGTTACACAACATTAGGAGCTACCTCAGCAGATTAAACGCTACTTTACATGATGTGTAGTAGCATACCTGGCTCTTGTCACCCCATTCACCAAAGAAGGTAATTGAAAAAGCCTGCAAAATTAGAGCAATATATGTTATTGATTATTAATGGTGACCTTCAAAAGAAAAATTCTGGTAGCTATTACACAGAGATTAACCTTCAGAAAGATGGGTGAGAAGAATTGAGTGAGAAGAGGCCGCCTCTGCTTCTTTAACTCGTCAGAATCCTAGCAAAACATAACATTGTTAAAGCTATTAAGAACGGTAATTGTCCCTTGTACATTTTGCAGCAAGCTTACAACTGTTCTAATCAGAACTAGGAAATTCGAAAAATAAGAATCTGATAGCAGACAGCCCGGAGATAGAAATACGTCTTTGATAAGCTGAGATCTTCGCTTAAGACATATTTATTGATCTAATTCTTGAATATGGGACTTGTATATGGACAGTTCTCAGATATTCAACAAATTAGCAGATCAAATGGAGCTGACTTAAGAAACTAATAAGCGAATTAAGCTCTCCAGAGACCAGCCTCTACTTGCTTAGAGCATGGTTTGTAAGTAACAAAAAAGCAAAATGGAACAATCTCTGAGAGTGTCGGAGCACTGGCAGTGTCAACCTTAAGTTGAGCATGTTTCCCGTATATAGTATAATATGACTCAGGTGAGAAATGTAGAGGAACATAATACATGCAAAAGAAAGCCTCAAAGGGAAGAATATATTCTCAAAAATTGGAAACAAGGAAAAGAAGTAACCAAAACCAAATAGGCAGTGAGTACATAAACACGATCCTTCATCCAAACTGAAATCTGTAAAATAGTGACTAAATAAGGAGGACTATTAAGAGGTAGTACGTGACACAAAGGTCTAGAAATTGGAACCCAGGATGGACAAATTAGAGCAAGTTGGAGAATGTAAGCTTGGTCTCTTTAAAAAACGAAAGAAAGAAAAAGAGCTAACTTGTGCTCTTTTTGAGTTAGCATAAATTATCAGCATGGAATGAAGCTGGCAAATGGTGTTGAATGTTTTTTTTCTTGGCAGAAAATTCAGAAGCAATGGTGTTTGTATACATTCATCAACGAAGGAAGGTAACCTTGTATACGTGTTTTTGCTTTTTATAAAGTTTTTCTCTTTTTTCTGTGTGTTGATCTCAATAAGGTATTTTGTTCAAGATTTCTGGGAAATGCTAAAAACAACTATTCTTGTTGTCAGCCAATAAGATTTATCAGTGTACTTATTGAAGAGGAAGAAAAACAAAAGAACTGCCATCTCAAACAGAGAGATGCTAGAGGAACAACATTCATAACTGAAAAACAAATCTTGATTACTGTAACCACTCAGTAGCATTTGCATAAGGCAATAAGATACTTACTCTCTCCGTTTGACTGGGTACGGAGATTAAGGAAAAAAGAAATATTCTTGACACATGAGGTTTAAAACAAGCCAAAGGTATTTGTGTGGCTATAAATCATCTCATCAAAGATAAAATGAGAAGTTTAAAATTAAATTATTTCTAGTTATAGAAAGGTGTCATTCTCTTTGGGGCAGAGAAAATGTGCCAGATAAAATGGGACAGAGGGAGCATAAGTTGCTGCTACAAGACTTGGAGGAAGAGGTTGGTACTTTTCTTCTCTTAAACAGATTTGTTATTTTCATCGATCCTTTTTTTTTTTTTTGCCCTATGTCCAGGGGAGGCAGGAAGAAGGAGGCTGTTGGACATAGATATTGTTAATTTACTTCTCTTAACAGATTTGCCCTTTTTATCATTTTTAGGCCCTATGTCCAGAGGAGGCAGGATCTGGGTAGTTGGAGAAATCCAAAATTATTTTTAAAAAAAGATATGCAATGTACACTATGAGCAGGAATGCTACCTTATTCTTCTCCTTGGTTGCTCCACCATTAGCTTTTATATCCGCATCCTACTTGCACCATAAAAGTTAAAATAAGAAAAGCTAAAATTCATGTATGGCAAGAGGTGATTCGAAAAACACAGACCAGCTCTGCTTCAACTTCAGCCAGTTCCTCAGATTCCCTGTGGATGAAATTAGAATTAGACTAATGGAAAAGCAATTGAAGCATAGAAGGGATACAGAGATTAGAGATTTACAGAAGTAGTATAATCAGAAGCAAGCAGGAACCAAATGATTACCCATCATGGAATGCATCCCACAAAGACCATACTCCAAATCCCAAGAACAACAATGTTGTAATATGATGGGTCCATTTGCGGGAGACCTGTGGGGAGTATATATAAACTTTATTCGTGCAAATAAAACAAATACAATTTAGAGCAGATTACATAGTGCTTGATACCTAAGCACGTGAAATTGAATTGGAAATATTATGATAGGCTAATCATAATGATAGTGAACTTGAATAAACTAGAAATAACTGTTCCTCATCTGATTTACTCCAACTGCACCCCATACACATCTAATCCATGACAAGAACCGCTATTTATGAGAAACCAATATAGATAACGGATGCACAAGATGACTTACTACCGGTGTGACCTACAGGTCACGGGTTCAAGCCGTGGAAGCAGTCATTAATGCTTGCATTAGGGTAAGCTGTCTACACTATACCTCTTGGGGTGCGGCCCTTCCTCGTATCTTTTGCCTTTAAGATGACTTACTACAAGTTTTAAAATGATACAGCTTCATTATAATATACAGCACATGCTATTTTATTATAGGTGCAAACAGCCTATCACAATAAGCAAATATTTAGCAAGTGGAGTTTGTCGATGGCAAAAAAAAAAAAAAAAAAAAAAAAAAAGATAACTTTTAAAGTTGCTCAGAACTGATCACTAGCTAACAGTGAGGCACAGACCTTGAGATTAAGCACACAGCAATGTCTTTGTTATTGGACATAACGTCTCAATTACCGGAACAAACTAGGATGTCTAACCATTTCATATAAGAATGGGGGAAATGTATATTTCCAGTTATGGTTATGACTTTACATCAAATAAAATAGACAAAAAAAAAATACAAAATCAGAACACTTACTCAAAAAAAAAAATTAAGATTAGAACGTTGTTACTCAAAATTGCAACTAAATGGAACTCACCAAATTGGGAGCAGCCCAACCAACAACAGCAGACAGAATGGTCATTACCTAGAGCGACCAACAATTTTCAGGAAATTGTTATTGCCCACAATATAAAGAAGAGAATTTCAAATAGATGGAACAAATACTGATAGAAGGGTGCAAAAAGTCTTACAATTAAAGCTCCAAGGCACCCTGACAAGACGAGTCTCCTTGGGTGACGCATTGCCAAGATCTTGAAATTTAAATTTGTCAAAACAATAAGGTAAATATTAGAGAATATTCTGAATAACCTGACTAAAAAAAGAGAACATTCTGAATAACAGAAACAACAAAGGTGCTGAAAATGAGGACATGAGAATAAATGAGAACATCACAAAAACCTTTTAGTTAACAAAGAAGCAGCTAAAGAGTTAGATGTCAAAAATAGTTTCCAAAAAAAGGTAATAATCTGAAAGTTCACCCATATGGAACTCAACCTATTGCAAGAAAAGTGTTGGACCGCAAGTTAAGTCTCACAATTAATAGCACTAATTTGTTATAGAGTCTTTCTATTAAAAGATATAGAAGCAATGCAAGTGGGCTATACATACTGAAAGTGTGATACTATGGGTTTCATCAGTACTGGTAGAGGTTTTAATTTCTAATTAATTTTTTTGATAGGTTGGTTTAATTCTACATAATAATTTTTGGTTTATTTTTGCATAGGTCAAGTAGGCAATGATATGGTCTTCTCTCTAAGGTAAACACTGGTTTTGGCGAGAACCTATACTAATTAATGAAGTCCACAGCAAGCTAAAGAGTAAGACATTTTGGTATTCAACAATCACATAGAATTGAATGAAGGGAAAAACTAAGTAGGAATGAAAGAGTAGCTTCCGCTGACATAAGAAAGCAATGAACTAGGCAGACTTTTTAGGAGGGTGTGATGGACAGGGAGGAGGCAAATAAAGAAGAATATCTTCTTCCTTTTTGCATTTGTTCTTCTGAAGTGGAACTACTTTTTCCAGTAAATAATTATTAGTGACAAACTATTAAAAACTGGGAGAAGAGTAACACAGAAGATTAGAATTTATCCTCAGTCCACTGTATTGTTCATGATTCTAGTGCCATCAACTCTAAGAATCTAAGATTCCCAAATACAAGTAAAGATAACAAGGAGTACTTGCTAATTCAGAAACAAGTTCAAAAGGAATGAATGAAAGGGTAGATTAAACAAGAAAAAAAATACGAAACAAAGAAATCAACAGGAGCTACTCATAGAAGAGCATAAAAAGCTCTAACTTTACGAAATGTTAACAATTCACTTGAATATTAGGTGAGCCGAGCAGTTGAAGCAACTTATTACTAACTTCGAAATCTCAGAATCCAAAAAAGCAGCAGCTCAATCAAGCTTTCTAATTAGTTTGTGCTTAAATATTATCGTGGTCCCAAAAAAAGCTTTACTTTCTGGCAAATAAGAACTCCATGATTTACTTACAAATAAAACAAAATAAGAACCCCATGATTCGCCTTGCATAGATCAAAACCTCAAACTGTTTTACTCAGCTAACTCAATCTTTCTTTTTTTTTATGATGGGACCAAAGCTTGACTATTCCGCTGCTACCTCCGACAAACACAAGTACCACGTAAGTCCATTTAAGTTCACTTTTGAGCTCCCAGCTTCCATTCACAATCCAATACATTTTCAAATACACATATCAATCAATTAATCCTCAATCTCAAACTAGTTGAATCAGCAATTATGAATCCTTTATTAACAGTAGCGGACATAGCTTAGTAGCTAACATTATTTTTGACATGAAACATGAATATATATGTGAAAAAACATTAAAATTTTAATACATATTATTTTCTGAACCCGTTATTTTAAAAGTACAAGAAATTACCAATCAAGTTCAAATCATGGATCCGTCCTAATATATATCCACTCCATTCGACCAAATTTTATTCAAAGTACTTATAATTTATTAGTCTTTTATGACAAATTATAATTCACTAGCGCAACTTTGGAATAAATTACAGCTAACAGTCAAAACCAAACAGAACTCCATAGAATTAATTAATTAATTGCAATTAAATCTACAATAAACTCACCGCAGCGGCGAAGAACGTCTTGTCTCCGATCTCAGACAGTACTGTCATCGCCAAAGACTTCGTAAAACCCTGGTCAAAATTTAAAAAAAAAAAAAAAAACACAAAAAAGAAACAAAATCAAATTGATTTAATCAAAAGCTTATATCTAAATGCAAATATACAAAGGCGAAAGGAGAAGAACTAATTACCTGCGCCACTGAAAGAGTACTCATCTTCTCAATTGCTCCTCGAAGTAAAGCTTGAGAGAGCAATTTGTGTGTGTGTGTTGCGAGTATATATTATGGTGGAGAGGAGAGTGAAGAGGGGAGATCGAGTTGTTTAGCTCTGTGAGTTGACAAATGCCGTGTACGACAGTGTACGTTTATGTGAAAGGCAAGGCGCGTGGTATTGGTGTTTTTGAGAAAGGGGTTTTGAAGGGATGTGTGACACTGACACGCGAGATAAATCCATTTGATTGGGTGAAGCCGAAAAGATGAAGTGTCCACGCGCGAATAAATCACGTGAAATTATCTACTCGCTTTGTGTCCTATTTTATGTGAGGTTATTTAACTAGGCACAAAATTTAAGGAAAAAATATTTTTAAAATTATAATTTAAAATGAGCTATTGACATTAGTTTCTAAAGACACTTATTTTAGAGAACTGAGATGTCCGACTAAAATTTTTAGAAAAAAATTAGTGCTTTTGAGCAATGAAAAAAATATTTTTTCTTTAAAATTACTTTTGAAAAGCGTTGCCAAGTATGAATCATTACTTTAATATTAACAAAGTGTCTCAAATTAAGGGCCCGTTAAGCCATAAAAAAATTACCTTCTTTGAATTTTTTCTTACTTTTTTTTTCAAATCAGTGTTTGGCCATGAAATTCTCAATTTTTACTTAAAATAAATTTTAAAATTTTCGAAAATTTGAAAAAAAATCCAAAAAACTATTTTTAAAACTTTTTATTTTTGATCACTCGTAAAAATTCAAAAACATCGTAAAATTGTATTCATGTCCAAACACAACTCTGATTTATAAATATCATTTTCATTTATTTATTTTTTTGAATTTTTTCCGAAATTTTACAATTCTTATGTCCAAACGCCCACTAATAGTCAAACACAAAATTTGAAAAGTGTTATGATAAAAATCAAAATATGTTGGATGTCTACTCTTCCTCCATGATCTTTCTCTCAAATGGTTAATGACATATTCAATGACATATTTTCTATGTTCAATGACATATTCCATGACATATTTTCTTCACTTTTCATGCCTATATAAAGGCCTTGTAATAGATAGGAAAATACACACAATTGAAGAAGAAAATTTATTCCTTTCTCTCTATCTCTTTCTTGTTCATGTTTTACTAAATTGTCTTTATTTCTTGTTCATGTTTTACTAAATTGTCTTTATTTCTTGTTCATGTTTTACTAAATTGTCTTTATTTCTTGTTCATGTTTTACTAAATTGTCTTTATTTCTTGTTCATGTTTTACTAAATTGTCTTTATTTCTTGTTCATGTTTTACTAAATTGTCTTTATTTCTTGTTCATGTTTTACTAAATTGTTTTTATTTCATAACACGTTATCAGCACGAGTCTCTAACCAATTGTATATATATATATCTACAAAAAAATTCCTACATCCGGAAAGATTACAATTAGAAGCTATACATATCATCATATGGTTAAATGTAAAGAGAAATTACATATGGTAAGTAATGAAATGTAAGAAGGTATGATTATCCTATACTTGTCATTCCTCTAAAATCTCATATGCACACAACTTCATACTACACCTATATTACATAAGCACATATTAATATTACATCTTTTATATCGCATGAATGGAATAAAATTTTCGAAGTTCTATATGTGAAAATCATAGTAGCAGTTAATTGTTGATATGATGCATGTCATGGTAACCAAGGATATTTTATATAAATTGTCTTATGCATATTTGTGCGTTAACTATCTTCAATCTGTCCTGCCGCTTTTAACATTTTCTTTTACTTGGATGAATATTTTTTTTTCCTTTTGAATTTTTACACTTGCATATAGTACAAAAAAAAAGAATAAAAAAATGGTCATACTGATTAAAAGCATAAATCACCTTGAAGAAAACAAAAAATACTTCACATCTTTATCTAGGTTGATTAATTACTTCTTTGAAATTTGGAAAACAAACCAGCTATTGAGAAAGTATACTTCATAATTTATGGTCGTATCATTTGAAAGCAAACAATGATTAGTATGACTACTAGAAGAGGTATTTTTGAGTATCCATGACCTACTTGGTGCTTGCTACTGACTTACCATTTTTAAGTATTTTATATGAATGATGCACAAGTTACAACTGGTAAGTTGTTACCTATAATGTCATTTTTCAGGTAATATAAATACCGAATTTATGTATTAGTATTATATGTGTGTTGTTACCTATATGGTGTACTTTTGATAAATTTATTCACTAATTGCTTGGTTGAATTGAGTGAAGGAAAGTCATGGCGTTAATTCAAATCCAATAGGTAGGATATACCCCGAAAAACAACAATATTTTTTAGAGAGACTCAATAAATATTATGACAATGATTTTATGATCCTTT